TGTGGACCCACGCACCAGAGTGGACACACGCACATGCACACATGCACAGACAAAACATATCCATGCATTCATGCACACGCCGGGTCACACACCCACGCACTCACACACACATGCACATGCACACAGATCAGTCAAGAAGAGCTTTTCTGTCCAAGATTCTCTGACAACACCAGAATAAATGTTTCCCTACCTAATAGACACACCATGGATTTTCGTTAAAACACTTGTGTGAGCAGTCAGCAGCTATAAATGGCCAAGCAAAATGGTTGTTGCAGCCACCGTGGATATGCAGAATGCATGGTGAGGGGCGGGGAGCCCCAGGTTCAGGGGTTAGGATGGGCTCAGGTGCTCCAGGGGCAGGTGGGTGTATGAGTGTGGCCCCGAAGACATATTTCATTCAACCGGACCTTTCAGAGGGAGTACTGGGAGAGGGTTATGGCTCAGTGGATAGAGGTGTTGGGTCTCAAACAGGGCACTAAGTCCCTGGGGCCTCAGTTTCCTCATCCGGAAAATGGAGACCATAATAGTGCATATCCCCATAAGACTATTCAGAGGAGTGAGATTAAGTGTGTCAGGGGGATTCTGGGAACATGGCGGCCTGAATAGCATGGCCCCCCATGGCTGCCAGGACTTAGGGCCCACAGGATGTGGGTCCGGCCTTGGGTTCTGCTGAGAGAACTGGAGGCCCAGAGGCACTCCACTTGCCAATGGGCTGGGTCACCACTGAGGAGCCCCCAGAGCCCTGGGGCAAGGTCCTGAGAGCGGACAATCTGGGAAGACTTGGGGTTTGGGTCTACGTAGACTTTCAGAGGTATATTTCAGCATCAACCTCAAGAGTGCAATGGAGAGGAGAAGCTGAGTGCGTGGGCTGGGGCCTCTCTGTCCTCAAGGCTGGGGTGACTAAGACCATGAGCCAGAGGCTCACAGGGCCCGAGCCCCCCACCTTGCTACTACCTGTGGGATTCCTACGGCTGAGAAGTGTCCAGCAACCAGACAAGTCTCATGTAGCCAAAGAGAAAAATAACTGCCTACCTGAGGTACTCAGAAGCCAAAGAGAAGAACGCTGGGCAGAACAACCACACCAGCAACTTCTAAAACAATCAGGAAACAAACCTAGTGTGTTCGTTTCCGATCGCCGCTATAAAAATATTACCATAAATTTGGTAATTTTTGGCTTAAATTTTGGTAAATTTTGGTACATTTGGCTTAAATTTTTGGTAAATTTTGGCTTAAAATTTGGCTTAAAACAGCACCAGTTTACTGTCTCACAGTTCTTGAGGTCAGAAATGGAAGCTGGGCTGGCATGGCTGCATCCCTTCTGGAAGCTCCAGTGGAGAAGCCTTTCCTTGACTTTTCCAGAACGTGCCCTCATTCCTCGGCTCATTTGGTGGCCACATCCCTCCAGACTCTGACCCCAAACTCTCTGTCCCTCTCACCTCTCTTCCATCTTCGAAGGATCCCCTGTCCTTATCTTGGGTCTACCTGGATAATCCGGGATAAATCCCCCATTGCCACATCCATAATCACACCTACAGAGTTCATTTTGCCACGTAAGCTAAAGTAGTCATAGGTTCTAAGGATCAGGACGAGGACATCTTTAATGCTGCCAACCTACCACACCTAGAGAAACAGAACAGCTGGAGAAAACAGATCAACAGCTGAGCGATATTAATTACAACAATAAAACAAGTCAAGATTCATGAAATTATAGACTAG